CCAGTGAGGAGCAGCTAATTCTAGAGTCCCAAGAACACTCACTATCAAAAAAACAATCCCAAAATATGCCTGGTTGCCATCTATCAATGGGCTACCAGGAAGAGCCTTCAACACATCAGACTCTGCTTAGAGAGCAAATGATACCTTAAAATAACCTAAGCTCTAATTTAGGAAAACAGCAACTAATTCACCGTATCTCTTTTTGCCAGAGGTGTTTAGGAACCACCTTTTCCCCAAGGTTTATGTTTTAAAATGCATGACTGCTAATGAGCAATTTCTGACAGAGCTCACATTGGAAAACTTCCTATTGAAGGTGCAGAGAGAGAGATGCTGGTGAGGATTGCCACAGGAAATTCAAAGCCACTCTAAACCCCGATCAGATATTTGAATATTTGCTTTTAGAGAACAAGGGTTACTCAGGTACCACTTTAGCTGTTTGTAAAATGAGGCATTGTTATCAGATGACACTTCAGTACAGCAGCACTCATGCTCAGCGCTGATAATCATGCACATACACAACAACGTGTTGCCTTTTTTTCTGTACTAGTGGTTTAAAAAATAACAAGGAAAAAAACATCCAACATGCAAAGTATAAAAGCCAAGGATAGAAGAGGAATCTGCAGTGCACAGATGTTAATATGTGGATATTGGACATGATACATTAAAATGGTGCTAAAGGAGGCATTATGATTTATTGAGTCAGTCTGTAGCAGGGAGACAATAATAAGCGGATCTTATCTTATTAAGTGGAACATGTAGTTCCTCTGCATGGGCATCCCCTGCATCTGCCACCCTTACTGGCCCAATCTTGCTGTCATGTTTTTCCTGCCACAGACACAGCTCACATTTCAAGGCTGGACCAAGTTGCTGAGACCCACAGGCCGTGAAGGCACCAGAATCCCAGCAGAGCAAATCCAGCCATTTTGCTAAAGCAGCTGGGGGAGTGGGGCTGCTGCAGAGAAACCCAAGGAGAGCCAGCACATCAGATAAATTAGGCTAAAGGCATCTTGATTTGAAGCATGTTGCCGAATACACCTCTCTACTTCAGTTGAAATTTTAACTGCACTGTTAACGTAATTTATTACACTCATTAAGTACCACAATCGGAGACCCTGTCTACAATAGCTAGTTTTATACACTTTTAAAATGTTAGCAAGTCACCCCATTACATCTTAGTCATGAGACTAATGCAGATTACTTATTACTTCTCTTGGCAATCACATAACACTTGTCCTGAGAATGAAAGATGATGCCTTGACAATAATATGCTATAATGTAATAACCCTTCACATGTTATAAAGTGCAGCACTTTTTCTTTTGAGGATCACTAAGTGCTGGGCAGGCATTCATTAATACAGCCATGCCAGACCCCAGTGATACAGCCATCCCCATTCAAAATTCAGCCACCATGTCAATGTCCTCATGTGCCCCTGCACAGGTCCCATCCCCACTGCTGCCTTCAGCACAGCCCTCCAAAATACTGTCGCTTCCACTCTCTCCCTCCCCTTTGCAGGAGCAGATAGCTGCAGGCACAGGGTATCTGCTGAAATATTAATGAACGGAGAAGTAAGTGTTGTTTTAATATTCTCCAGGCCAGTAACCTGAAGTACAGAGCAGTTACCTGATATGCCCAGGGCCACTCAGCAGATGAGGAAGAAAGGGGAATAAAATCTGGAAGCGGTGGCTCTGCTCAAAACAGCCCTCCCTTGGGGTCACTGTGAGAGACCACAATTCAAACACAGAAGTAATTGCTAAATAATTAGTAACCTACACAATTACTTCCATGCATCCATCAGTATTTTCTGCCCTGAAGGAGCAGTCAATAAAAGTCTGAGATTACAATTATGGTGATTTCCTATCCACCAGAAGGCCTAGACAGTGTGCAGCCTTTTGTCCAGACTTTTCCTTCCTGATGAGTATTGTCAATGAGAATTTTTAACTGGCTTAAGTGTGTTATGTGCAGTTTTACCAGCACCCACGTGGGCCAAAATCACCAATACTGGTGCAGCATCACAGCTTTGGGCAGGTCTTCCAGGGCTTCAGCTCCTGCTGCTGGATTCACGTGATCCACATGAAGCTTTCATTGAGGGAAGAAACAAGATGTTTCTGGGCTTTATGGTTAAAAATCAGCATGTTAAAACTGGAACTGAAAATCTCATGAATTAAGGCTTGCCAATGTCCCCTCCTACCTGAACAAAATTTTTGGAGCCTTTTGGGTGCAGAACACACCAGGGAGGTGACAGGTGACTGGAACAGCAGCTGCCCTGCCTGCTCTGCATTCACCAGGATGTGAATCAAAAGCTGCCCAGAGGAACCTATTTGCACTGCACCAAAAGAAATAATAATGACATTACACAGCCCTGTAGGTCCTCAGCACCTTTTTTGTCCTGTTCAGCTTGCACTTTCTCTTTTTGAAATTAGAGCCAGGTTCAAAACCCAGGTTGTTCTTTCCAAACCTGATACATACACCTACTCTTTTATGGTTTCCAACTGTTCTCTTCTGCTTGTTATTTATTCTTTCCAAATCAATAGTATTTGTATCAGCATCAAAGACCTGTGTATCACCCCTCTTTTGATGGCTCCCTGTATTCCAGTCTTTCTCCCCAGAAGTTCTCTTCAATAACTGTTACTAAACTAATGCTTGTGCTATGTTTTCTCCTTCAAGGTTTTTTTTTCTGTCTCTGCAATTGTTTGATTCTGACTCAGTACAATGGGTAAAATTATTAATAATAAAAGTCTTTCATTAAAGGTATTATTTTATTGTTCTTCAGGGAAAACCAGAAGATTATTTCCTTATGTGGGGTTCCATCCCTCTTGTTTGGCCATTACTGGTCAAAACTTCATCATCGTGGTACATTTAAAAAAAAGGCAGCAGCAAAATGCAGTATAAAACAAATTCTAATTAATCTAAGACTGTACAGCTGGACAATAACAGAGACTTGGACATTAAAATTCTAACTTATTTTGTGGTCTGGGTTTTTTGGCAGATTGGTGGGTTTTTTAATAGACGAACTTGCTGGTGATTGCAGCATTGAGTCTGAATCACACCATCTTCCAAGATCTAATCAAGATCAACACTGTCTTGATCAATACAGATGTAAAATAAGATTTCCAAAAAAAGTACAACAAAGCCTTTAAAAAAATCTCAGAAGGCAGCAAAGTAATTTCTTGAAACCATAAGTGAAAAATGAACTCTATTTATTTCACATTACAATCAAATAGTAATGTGTCTTGATGCATATGTGCACACATGCATCATCATTATTTGCTTTATTCTTATTGATTTTTCCTTCCATGGGCCAGCACACCAGAACCACAATGCACCAGCATCACTGATGCCAACAGGGAAAGAGGCTTCTCAGCACTTCTGACAAATTATTCCTTTAAAGTTCAGACACTTCTATCACCCACAGAAATGAAATACACATTAGACTTATGAGAAATCAACCTCATCTTCAGCAACTCAAAAGAGCAGCCCATGAAACCTAAACAGTTTAGCTGCTGCTGCATATAATCACATAAGCAATGTTATAACTGTCCCAGATGGATACAGCATTTCCTGAAAACTAATTCCCAGCATATCCCAGGAGCCAGCTTACAGACAGTTACCCATTTTGTCTTTCCAAGTGGAAAGGTCACCAGAACAAATGCGATCAGGAAGCAATGGCGAAGCCGTTCAGCTGATCTATTTCGAGCACCATGACAAAGAAAACTAATTTAGTGTTATAATTAGAAACATGGAGAGGAAAAAGCTCATTTTGGAGAAGAGCTGCTGCTGGAACGTTAGCATTGGTGCTGATGGAGCTAATCAGCTCAGAGAGGTGGAAGAGTGAAACCAAATTGTACATTTAGCATCTTCATGCAAACCAGGTTTGACACTGCAATTGTCTGCAGTTGGGAATGAGCACAAGATTTAAAGGTGCCCTTACAAGGGAGTTTTTAAAGAAGTAGGCAAGCAAACAGTGTTTCAGAACTTTTTTTTTTTAAACCTTAAAAAAACAAAACCTCATGTCACAATCTTTCCTGTTCATGTTTGATGACTGCTTTTCAAAGACTACTGGCTATTTGTGTGTAGTTCATATTTTTAAATGTATTCCATATTTCTTATTATAAAGAATAATAAGTCTGCAAGAATGAGCCTTTTTCAATCCCTCATAATAACAGAAAGTCCCATTAAACTTCTTGCAAAAGGAAATATGACATGAATGAGCTGAAGTACACTGGAAGGACTTTCAAACCTCTAAAGTATTTCTTTTCATTGTCTTCTCAAGAGGTACATTTGAATGTTCTCCAGAGGAAAAAAAAAAACAAACAAACAACACACTCCAAAAGGAGTTTTCAATTTAAAGGAGTTATAGATTGCAGGTTCAGTTACACAAATCCTATTGTGTACCTAAATGTGGTCAATTTGCCTGGCATTTCTCTGGGAGTCAAAGGTATCTTTTTCCTGCTCTCATCCTGGTTACATTTCAGTGCCCCTTGGCTGCATCGGTGCTGTTGTTTGCAAAGCACTGCTTTGCAAAAAGTAAAAAAGATCAACACAGTGACACAAATTAGAAGCAATTATCTGGGAATAAAGGAGAAAAAAAAAAAGTCCAAAACCAGTGCATCATGTAGCTGCATTGGGAACACAACAGGGTGATGGAGGATGTGTATTTGGGGAACATGAAGGACAAGAAAAAAAGCAGGAGGGAAGAAGAAGTGAACAAGAAGGTGAACCGCAATGGATACAAAGAATAGATGCAGACTGCCTCGTTATTTCCTTACTGGAGTACATACTGGATTTTCCTGGCATACTGATGTTAATTTTTAGAGGCAGTTAACTTGAAGGGAAAATACAAAAGCACAGCAATATGAGAATTCCCCCTCTCAGGGTACAGAGAAGAGGAAAGTAGAGCACTAGGAGGGAAAGCAAGGTCCTAACTTGAGCAAGGGTGGTGCAAGTGTGGTGTCCTACCAGGCCTATTTGAAGTGCTTTTTCACTGCCCATGGCTCCATACCTTCATAAGTTCCTACTTCCAAAAGGGTCCCACTTCGCTCCAACTCCAGAAATTCCTCCACAGTCAGAAAGTTATAGTCCACACCAGGCACTTCTCCTTCTCTTGGAGGGCGGGTTGTGCCTGAAAGGGAAAATTAGCACATTAATACTAATTGATGTTGTTTTCTTACCAAATGTAAAAAGGACAGTGAAAAACTTTTCCTAAAGATGCAGCAGTACCTGTAGGATACAATTCTGTGAGCTACACAGTGTCAGAAGAGTTCAGTTCCAAGCTAGGAGCCCGTGTAAAAACAAGACAAGACACAGACCTCTGGCTGAGCTGGCAGTACCAACTGGAACAAAACAACCAAAGGACAATGCTTGTTTGTGTTCTCAGAAAGACTCTCTGGCAAAGAAATCTCTCATACCACATGCAGAAACACCGCTGGAGAAGTTTTGTACCTGGGAATATGCCAGCAATTACCTTCCTGCTATTAGAACTGTCTCTCATACCTCACTAAAATTGCAATCTGTATTCTCAGACAAGACAACATCTTTGTAGGTCCCATTATTTCTGTATCACTATCTCACCAAATGTTCTTTCACATCATAAAGATAATTTCTCCCTTGTTTTTTCTTAGTATTTTATCTCTATTTATATTTTTCTTTTTATTCAGCGTTAAGAACTACCAGGAGACAGTTTTGATGCACCATTCACACATGCTCACTAAAGAGACAAACCTGCCAACTGTTTGCACAGAAGTTCACCTTAAGTTCATTCCAGTTCAAGAAATATTTTTGAGTAATAAGTCACACTAAATCTCTCTCCAGCACTTGACAATTTAAATGGAGAACGAGGTTCTGATCACTGCTACTCTGCCAGCTCTGAAACTCTTCTCCCTTCTGACCAATTTACAGCCCTCTGAAGCATAGTGTAAGATGAGTCATTTCATGACTTTTTTGTTAAGATGGCTTGGGCCACTGCATTTTAGGTCACTGAGCACAGCTTCATTGATTAGGATCAATTTCTGTTCAATAGCCTTTATTTTCCATGACTCTGGAGGCTGGGAGGTGGCTGGACTCTGTACATCTGCGATTAAACATAAATGCCAGATTTACAGATGATACAAGAAACTGAATTTTGGAAGAAGGAGCAGAGTTAGAGAGTTGGCTGTGTCCGAGTGCTGTGGTTGCAACCAGTCTTCTGGCTTGGGAATAACTTCAGAGGTGTGGAAACCATACCTAACCTTTAATGAAGCATGATTTCTCCCTTCTGAGGGACTTTTCCAGCCCCTGCGCAGCAGCATCTCAGTTCATACAATTTCTTAAACTCTCTATAAAAGGACATAAGAAAGAATAAAGAAGCTGAGCTTCTGGAAACTAACTGAGAAGATTCCAGCTCTCAGAAGTTGAAAGAGCATAAATTTACCATGCCTGCATCTGGCAAATGTTTTCCTCAAGTGCCAGGGAAGCAGAAAGTCTGCTTATCCCCTATTCAGCTGAGAGACTGTTCGAGAGGTCAGTCTTGATATAGTGACACCCTTGAAAGATTATCACTAGATGAATTTCCTTGATAGACATCCACTTTCTCTAACGTCTTCCATTTCTTGTTTCAAAATAGAAACTCTCTTTTTTTTATTTTTTATTTACCATCACTCTTCAGATAGCCTACAAATTCCCATGGTTTTTCTATCAGTCCTTGTCTTAGAGCTGTGTGAATGGGTGAAGGTGGGAGAAAAAGTAAGGAAGGGGATGGAAATGGTGATGGATATCTTCACCTTACAAACAGAATTACCCTTTCCCATTGAAAGGATTAAATTTTGCCTTCTTTTTATTTTTGAATCATTACAGTAAGACTACAACAAGTTTTACCCGGTGGATTGTAGCAGAAGACAAATGTCTCCCACAGATTTAGTCCAGAGAAATACTGGAGCTGCTCCATGTGCCCCCCACTGCCTGTGTTTCCATCCAAAGGCAGGCAGCAAAGCTGAGCAGACAATGACCACGCAGGTCCCTCCCTGGCACACAAGGAGCATGGAGCACTGGCCCAGCAGCTGGGATGAGGGGTAACAGCCCAGATGCAACATCTCCTCCCTGAGCACCGACACCTCAGTAAACACTCAGGCTGTGAGGAACCCTCACCAGTCTGTTGGCTACTGCCACATGCCCCTAAACGTGGCCCACGTGAGGGAAGGAAGAATAATGAAAAACCTCCACAATAATTATGTCCAGTGATGTGATGTAGCTGTCCCATGCCCGGAGCACAATGGAAGTGAGAATTAGACTCTGCAGTGCTCCTCATCCATCAGTCAAACGTCACCCCGAGCCATGTGGCACACGAGCCGAATGACAAAGATCAGGACTTACATTTTCCCAGTAACTAATAACACATACTGATGAGACACAAAGACCAGGGAACTTCAGGACTGCTTTTACTTTATCTTTTAAAGCCTTTTCTTTCCTTTATCTATATCTTCCAACAGAGAGTATATTTATTAATCATTTTTTTTTCCCTTCTGAATTTTTATGGCAGTGAAATTGCAGTCAGCAGTTTACTAGTGCTGGCTGCCTATTTGACATGACAATTATATCTGCCATAATTCCTCTGAGCCATTTTAATGGATCTATTTGTTTCATCTCGGTGTTCTTAATTTCCTGAATATGTTCAAGTCGAAAAATCGCAGATGTGCTTGCTATCAGCACGACTGCCTGCAACACACACTGAATGCATTAGGAACATCGAGTCGTCCCGTAAAAGAAAAACATTACATCACAGAGATAACATTTGTCACCTCTCTCGGTCCTCAGCAGCAAACCCAGGGAAAATAAAAACTACACGGGTTAGGATTTCTTATCTGGGCGAAGGCGAAAAACCCAACAACTTTCCATGTTGCTGTCTGGAGCAAAGATTGCTTGCAGATGCTCCGGCTGTTATCCCGCTCCACATCTGAACAAGTGTTACTGAATGCAATTCAGGAAGGCAGGGGGAAGGGAAAACCCGCCTCCGTTTTTCTTGTAGCAGAATGACAGGCTGCCGGCTGGACACACGCCTGGCAGATGGCATTTCAAAGAGTTTTCATGAACCATCTGGGATGTGTACAATGATTACAAACCACACTTACAACAAAGCCAGAAGGGCTGCTTCACAGGGAGGGTGGGGGGAGAGGGCGGGCAGGAAGAAAGGGGGGAAGAAAAGAAAGCAAAGAGGCTCATAAGCAAACTCCATGACTTTTCCCAGGCACAGAGCACCAAGAATAATCAGCACCTTCCACCCAGAGCCCGAAACAACTGCTCCACAACTGTGCAGCATGTGTGTGCACGGGCCAACCCCATCACAGGCTGCAAGCTACCACCGGAGCTCTCCGCTGATAAACTCCAAATGTAATTAAGTCTCCCATCATTAACGTGACAATTATGTACAAAGCATAGTGTGTGTGTCCTCCTTCCCCCTTTAAATTGCATTTCAGCATCCTTACCACAAGGATGGTCATCAGCGAAGGAGATGACTGTACTTTTATCAGAGCTAATAGCAAGTTAGATCACTGCTAATGGCAGAATTAATTGAGCACAATAAGAGCTGTGGAGAGCCCAAACAAGAGATAACATATTCCATAAGAAAAGGCGAGCCAATCATATTTAAATACTTTACCTTTCCTGCCACGTTTGCACTGAATTATTAAGTAGCATGAAACTGCCATTAGGTTGCAATTCAGATAATTAATTTGAGCTACATCCATTGTGTGACTACCTCAGAATTGGTAACTAAGTGGCTACCAAGTCCTTCTGTGCATTTAATTGTAATCTTTCAGTCTTATTTGGCTAGAATGTCCCACAACATATAAAACTAGTTAGATACATTAAGTTCACAGGGGAATTCCTCAAATCTCCTGTAGCCAAAGAAGACTCACGAAAATAAATTTTAAAAAAAGGCTACTGGTTAGCATTACCTTCTTTCACGGTCTGCAGAGGTAAAACTACATAAAGCATGAGTGGCTTGATGAAATGTTTGCCCAGTTGTTGGTTTGATTATCACATTCAAGCTATCTCTATCCCAGTTTATTCATGCGTCCCTAATGCTTGGGCCACAGAAGAGGGATCTCACCACGGGCTGGAGACCCCTCCTGAGAAACTGCTTCCAGACACAGGTGAGTTTGTCTGAGCAGAGCCCAGTGCTGTACTTGAACTAATTTAGAGCTTGTCACCCATGCCTAGAATAACTGGACTGTGGCTCAGATATATTGATGACTATCAACCATTATTCTGAGTAATTTAAGCACCCATTTAAAAGACAAATAGCGGCTGCTGTTGTGATGCCTATCAACCATGCTGACACCCAACATGAGCCTTAATTATAGCATGGCCAGGCTGTTAATATATGATTTGAGGGCTGTTTAGCTCCTTATCAATCTACCAGGGCCTCAAGTTAAGCTGTTAATAGTCACTGATGCCCTGCTGCTATATTAATCAGTCTTGCTTATTGTAATCTAAAAATAAGACTTCAAAGGGGCTGTAGTCACTTCAATTGCTTTCTTGGCAAAACAAAAACAATTTGTGAGCAGTAACACTATTACCATGCACCAAAATAGCCCCTAGCAAGTTATTTAGAAGTTGCCTTTTCAAGTGCAAAATACCTACATCTCCCATTTGCAAAAAAAAAAAAAAAAAAAAAAAAAAAAAAAAAAAAAAAAAAAAAAAAAAAAAAAAAAAAAAAAAAGAAAAAAAAGAATTATTTCTGCAAACTCCTTCTCCAGTTCCACTGGCTGGCACTGACAATCTCATGAGCCACCAAAATACGGCTGATTAAACCACAAGTCACTTAGTTCTCATTTCCACTGAGCAGCTTCTCTTAAAATGACAGACAGTGGGGGAGTTGTACACTCGAAGTAATGATGTAGTTACTACAACCATATTTTATATAAGTCACTGGTGGTTATCAGCAATGAGTGGAACTGTGGTAAATAATGTTTTAATGTTAAGTGTGCAGGGATGCACCTGACTCAGGGAGCTGCAAGGCCAAGAGCTGCTGTGGGGGGTTGCTGAGTGGTTGTCTGCAGGTGGGGTGGGAGGAAGGAAGGAAGGATTCTGCTCTTGCCATTGCTCTAAGACTGGTATTTTTGTTCATTCAGCAAGCAGAGACTGCTC